TTAAAATTAATAAAATTTATCAATTAAAGTGAGATTTATAGTTGATTGTTTGTTATCAGCTTTTGCTCGAGAAACAGTTTGATACTATTCAATACTTTTGAATAGTGGCTTTCTAGTGTATCTTACCATAATGTGGCTTTTCATCCAACCATGAGAATACGACTGTCTGTGGATTATATTCTGATACTGATGGCATATTTATTTTACATATAAACAATCTTAATTTGTGCATGCAGGAACGACCAGAAGTTTTTAATACATTATAATATTAAACTAATCGGACTGTGGTTAAGGTTTGTGATATTCATATCAAATTGAATAAATTGTTAAACCAATTTAAGTTTAAACAAAAAAAAATATACATATTATTTTGTGTTGATGTTCCAAATTATTATTATTTCTACAATTAAAACTAAAACACACGTTATACAATTTTATAAACACATCTGTAATTCAGGGATTACACTTTGATTTTCAGGGGAATACTGTAAGTAAAATAAATTCTGAAGTGTTTTACATTAATCACTGATATAGTTATCATACTCAAATTAATTGAGTTTGTCTTAATCTTCTTCCGTTTAAACGCCATGCTTATCGATTAATAACTGCGAATAAAAAAATAATAATACCCTTTTGACTATTATTCAAATAAAAATTAAATTGTAAAAAAACATGTATCTGTAGCATAATTTGTAAGCAATATGCTTAGTAAAAAAAACTATAAAGTTATAAGTTAAAAAAAAATTGTTTGCATTCTTTATTAAAAATTTATAAAAAATAATAACAAAAAAAAAATACTTGTATTGAGTCTGCGTCATTGATCAGTTCTAGTTTTTCGGAATATTTACCAAAATCTGTATAACAATTGGTTAACTAAGCTAGGTATAACTAATACCTAACTCTGCCTGCGGGGTTAACTTTATTTCATTTGTAGATTCTCATAACGTTGTAAAACAATGATATGTCACCTTCGCTAAAAAATATTGGTGAGTTTTTTGTCCATCCGAACTTTTTCCATAATCGGTAAAGATTGTTTGTTAAATACAATTGTCTGCAATAGTTAATTAACTCTACGGGTTCGCCTACTGGTTAGGTTTAACTACTAATTAAAACTAATGAATTAAAAATGTTTTAGAATAATTTATTGTAATTGTTTAGCATACAGGTAGTAGAAACATGCAATTATTTTTGCTTTCGGGTTTGGCATTATTCCAAAATGCAGCGTGTTGTTTAATTGACCTTGAATAAGTATTATATTATTCCAAAACATGCAGCCAAAACGTTCTAAAGCCCTACGGACGAATTATACATTATAATAATATGATTTTCGTGCTAAGTATGTAGGGTTGCAGGTATATAATATTGCGACGATGTAATCTTTTTTAAATGACGTAAAATTATATACTCATACCCATATTTAAGTATGACACTCGAACTATATTTGAAATCTCAAATCATGATCTTGTTTTTTGTTGTGTAGATATGTATACCGTACACATTTCCATATCACCTGTATAATATTTGTTTGATAATAATATTTTATAAGACTATAAACACGTAAACACGTAAACACAAATTAATGTAGAACTACTAGAAATGCGAATACAAAATTTGAGATATAATTTGTGGTATTGGTTAGACGATAGGGTGACGAGAATGACAAGAAGGCAGACTTCATTAGATAATTACCAGAAACGCCTTTGAGATGAAATCATATCGTTAGACACCTAATAAAATAAAAAAATTACTTATCTCAACATTAATTTTCGAAAGAAAAAAAAAAATTAAAACCAGTATATGCTTCTACTTTTAAAACGTGTCCTTTGAGATAAGCAAAATCAAAATACATAACAATATTTCAGTAGTTCAAAAAAATATGCATACATTAACTGGGTTAAATGATATACGGTATTTCACAACTGCTGCAGTTTTAAAATAGAGTTAGAATAAGTATAAACATACATTATAATGTAGTATAAATAAGTAAGTAGGTATAGACGCCTATGCACATTTATGAGTTAACATTAAATATTTTAATTCGCTATCGCGTAGTATCGAAATTACTATTTTGAATTTTCTCGTGAATAGGTATAATAAAATGTATAATATTGTAATATTTGCAAAACACGCTGTATCCATTGCAAATTGTTGTAGATATGTAAACATAGAAATTATAAGAACAGGAATTTTGTTTTGTTTACATTATCAAAATAATTTGCTATTCTAAATTAAAATATCATCTCGAAACAATTTAATTTTTAAACTGTTAAAACTACACAATAGGTAAGTAAATAGGTACCGATGTTTGAATTCGATTCACGATACCTTTTCATGTGGTGCACCTGAATTTCCCGTTAAAAATATTTTCCTTCGGACCTAGGAAATCACTTAAATATGGTCCAGAACATCACCGAAACCTTTTGCACAATATTGTTATATTTTGGTGTCGATTGGTTCAACTCTGATCCGAAAGATAAGAAAACATTTTTTTATTTTTTTTTTATTCGTATTTCTACATTATTCACACGCGCACTACCGAAAACCCTCTTGGAATTTCGAAAATAATATATTATACGCACTAGCTATATTAATCTCAATATACTAGGTACCTAATATAATACTGATTATGAACTACTTACGAATTCACACAGTAACCCACACTATATATATACAAAAAAAAAGTGCAGATGACGGTATTTGTTTTCCAATAAACTATTCTATTCACGCACATCAATCGTACGATAAAAAAAAAAAAAAGGTTAAGTGACATTCATTGGAGATTTTGTTTTGTTTTTTTTTTTTTTTGGAATCGAAGACGACCATTATTGTTAGTTATTATTCTTACACTCGTCTTTCAGTTTTCTCGAAATAAACTCGAGATAATGGTCGTGCAACCTTCAATTAATGCTTCTATTAATTTCTATTTATAGTTTGACTGCTGCAGCAGTGTATAACGTAACATAAAGACGTGTTTTTTTTTTTTTTTTTTTAACGTTCTCTAATCGTCCTCTGGATTGACCAGAGTTCGGTTTCGAGAGTGTAAGGGAGTGCTGTTGCTGGTGTGCGGCCAACACGTCCCAAAATAGAGCCGTGTACCGTTTCCGGAAGAGAAAGGACATCCCTACCAAATGGACACACAATGTAAACATAATGTAGACCTTTGAAATCGTATTCCATATAAATCGGTCACGTCTCAACTCGTATAAATGGAACTGAAGTTCGACCACGTCGAAATAATTTACGTTAAAATCAATATTGTATCTAGATATTATTATCGTGTTCTGGCGATTAATCTGATTGTATTCGTTATCAGACATAGTTGTATATGATTTTGTTAAATGGTTATAGATTCGTCAAAACGACATGTTTATTAAAAATAATATCCACTGATAAATACACATAATTATACATTTTCATTTTAAAGTATTGAATAATTATTCTTAGGCCTTAGCATGGATTTATTCTTTGTGTACTGTAATAACTGTAAAACGCCATTAATTTCAAAAGTATACATAAATGTTTTTTACATTTTTCATAATTCATGAATAGATCAAGACCAGATTATGACAGACGGTTTACACAATCTTTGTATTATCCATGTTTGTTGGTACTTATTTAACTGTCTTTTGTTCCGATTGTTGAATGTGTGTTTTGTTTTTTTAAATAACTTACTTTTAAATTTAACACCACACAAACGGTGTCATTTGAATTTATATTTAGGCCTCTCTGTACCATACATAATTTAAAAATGCGCCACGTAATTTGACGTTATTATGATTTTATAAAATAGACCCAAAAACCAAGTTTTTGATTTAAGAATATTAATCATAAAAACAAAAAAAAAGTACCGGCTAGATATCTATAGTCATTTTTTTTTTTTTTTTTTTTTATCAATAATCTTTATCCAAAAGTCGAGTCGCCAAAACGACTTGTACAGTTTCGTATTTCCTTAAATTCATAATGTAATACATTTACACGCTGCGTGTAACAAAAGTGAACAGTAATTATTTATTAAACTGTAAGGATATACTTAAATTAAGACCGACGGAAAAGCAAACGACCGTTAATGGCCTGAAAGAAAGTCTGAATGAAAACGGGATCTTTTATTGTTCGTCGACGTCGGCGATAAACACCACGTTAAATGTTTACGAACTTAATAAGTCCAATTTAATTTAGCGAGAATCGTTTAAACGGGTCGGGATGACCCTAACCTCGAGTTAATTGGTTTCTCTGGTAAAAATTGGTTGGTACTACCAACCCATTTCAGTAGCGGATAACAATATCTGCGGTTCTAAATATGTTTTTTTTTTTTTTTTTTTTTTTTCAGTAAAAATATAATAGTGTAAAGATTTTTAATTTTTGTATTTCGAAATTTCAAATAAATATCTGTACGTATCTGTATGTAATCCGGACAAACAATTTCCTTTTTTTCGATATTCTGTTAACGGTCTGTTAAAATTTTTTATTTTAGTAATATTTTCGACGTTCGAGAATAATTCTATGTATTTTATTTTCGTACTTTGGATACTCTTATAAATTATAATATGTATTTACCTACATATAAATTTATTATACACGCATGTTATATAATACGTTTGACATATTTATGCGTTATTCGGTTTTAATTTGTGTAAGTACATTGCTTATGAGTCATAAGCGACGTCATAAGTTATGACGTTTCCAAATTGTTGAGTAGATATCTAATGACGGTAAAACAAACAAAAATAATACAAAGAGAAATAATTTTCTTGGTTTGGAATTATTAAAAAACGCAACCTAGAATTTCAATTATTGTTCTAAATCAATTTAAAAACCATAATTTCTGTTAGATATACGAACGAGTAACACGTTATGAATTTAAAATGCCTTTAATATTTTTTTTTCCAAATAGATAAATGACTTCGGTATTTGAGTAGATATTTCGTTTATTTTTAATTTATATAATAACGATTAAAAATGTTTCACACATTTATTACAATCTACGAAATGTTTAATAATTTTCTTGATTATAGAACGTGGATAATTTATAACAATTGTGTATCGAATAAATTATTTAAAGATCGGAGGTGGTGAATACTAATTAAAAATGTATTTTTTCGTGTACAAGAATCGCGTCGAACTCTTCATTGTAGCCTTCGGTTCAAACGTTATCAACTAAATAATAAAAAATGTAAAATACTTATTTTAATAATAAAATAAAATAAATGTGTTGAAAGTTTTGAATATTTAGTATCAATAAGTAAGACATAACAATATATTAGTATACCGAGTGCCCTATAGTGTTATCCGAATGCTAATAATTTTATTAATGTTCATTTTTTTTCAACCGGGTTTAGGTCAGGGTGACACGAATGTAGAGAAAAGTTAAATTTGTATTTTCATCCCTCAATCATTGAAAAAAATTACTTTTTATTTTTTCACTTTTTAAAAATCTAGTATTCATCTGAGACATGGTAAGTTGTTTCGTAACAATTCTATTTTTAAGAACGACCTCAATGAACCCGATAAAAAAAGTAAAGGTATGGAATTAATAATTAATGAAAGCAAAACAAAGTATATGATATTATCGCGTAAAGTCCACAATCAGAGAGAAATAGTATTAGGAAGAATGAGATTTGAGAGAGTGGAAACTTTTAAGTATCTTGGAATAGGACCAGATACAACATGTGGTGGACATGATAGGTTTTTTATGTAATTTTTATCCACAGAGTACCCGAGGGGTAAAATTGTTAGACGAAATAGAAATGCTTAACAATTTAATAGGGATTACATTGTAAATCGTACTTTGTGGTAAAAAAAAAAAAAAATAAGTGTAATATAGAATTTGTTTTATAAGAATTTTAATATCGAATTTGACAAAACTAATAAATATTATGTCCTTTCAAAATATGTATAATCGAATTCCGCTCAGAAACTTTTACGTACAAATACACATTAAATCCTCCTCCCTTCTATATCCTACCTCCCAACTTCTCACATACAACATTGGTTCAGCCAGTATGTCAGTTTTTTTTTTTTTTTTTTGATGTGTTAGAAAAAAAGATTTTTTCCAGTACCAATAAGTATATCGAGTTAGTTACATGGAATAGTGTCATTGTATTTCGTTAGAACCTTAAAAAAAAAAAAAAGGAAAATTGTGATTGAAGTTTGACAAAAAATTAGATTAAATAATACTAACAACAAATATTATAATAATGTATAAGAAAACCTATTCGATTTGACAAGTCTTATTTTGGATACCTATAAACGTTTTTCGTGGAAGGTATCATTCAACTGTCAATTTAGTTTGTCGGAAACAAACTTTGAAAAATGCACAAACACGAAAAAAAAAATTGCGGTTGATAAACATTTAGCGCTATTCCGACGTCATTGTGATTGTTGATCGGAGTCCAAGAACAATGTCGCGGACCAATCAGATGGACCGCGTTTTCATAAAATTATATCTGCCTATACCGTTTATGAAGTATAGATAAAGTCGGATTTTACGAAATTACGATCGGTTTCAAATACGGATTGGCGATTACTTTTGCAGGTTTTGTTTAAAATTATTTCAGATAAATCATTGCTAACGAAAAACGATTTTGAGCAGAGCTATATACATTTTTTGAAAAGCCGTACGATTTTCATCGAAATTTGAAACTAAATTCTTTAAAAAAAAAAATATTACATTGCACTCGATTTTTTTTACCACAAAATACGACTTATATTGCACCTCCTGTTAAGTTTTCAAGCATTTCTGTTTGGTCAAGTTAATTGTCAAGTCAAAAGCCAAAAGTCAGGTTAATTGAATCATAATAAAATTGAAAATCACACATTTCGTAAATTTTCCCGGTTTTTTGGTAATGGAGTTAGTAGTTAGGATAGAGTTAGGTACTCGTTAAAAAAAGTAACATGTTTAATTTCAAACTACGCTGTAGGATGAATTTAATATTTTTTTCGTGTTATTTAAAATTGTATAGTGGAAATTGACGGTTATTATAATAGTGGTTAAACTATATTATTCCTTAATGTCGATGCTTTATACCCGCAAAATAATTAAAAATATAATTTTTCGTTTTAATAAAACTTAATGGTTGTTTTTATACTTTTAAAACGATTTTTTACAATACTTGTTAAGATTTTAAAAGCATTCCACAGCCCTATAACAATATTAACACGCCGTACGCGCATCTAAATATTCAAAAACCTTTTAACCACCTGTTTTCATTCATTATTTTATCGAAACGCATTTCTAAATAAAACAGTACACGATTTTATGCTGCGTATCTTATTTCTCCAATAATCCGGATAATAAATCAATAATAAACACATATCTAATAACGTTTCAATATCAACCTTATTGCACTTTACGGTATTTTACGCACGATGTAATAATTTTATTCGAATACCTATACACGCTTAATAACATTATTAAAAGCGTGAAAAGTGTAATTCATAAAAATAGCAATATTAGACTCTCGATACATAGATAAGTATAATACCTTATAAAAAATATTATCAACCGATTTTTTTTATTTTGTATGCAATACATCTTATATAATAATTTAGTTTGCTCGGAATACAATCGCATTGCGCAAAATTATAATTAACATTATTTCGTTAAACATTTACCGATAGTTTTTGAAAATCGCAGTGCATGACGTGATTTACCAAATTGGAAATTGTAGGTAGGTGCGTATAATATTTTGAAATGACGTATGTTTATTAATATCGAACAAAAGTCCAGCGACGGTCGTCTCGCAGCGTCGATCAAATTCAATGTCTGCGCCCTGTCGATTTGGGGAAGATTGGCGTATTCGTTGCATAATAAATGATTGGACGAGATGTGAAAAAGAAAAACAACAAATGAATTACAAGTACAATTTTTATTTATTTATTTATTTTTTTTTTTTTGAAAACCGGTCTACAAATTAAAAGAAGGAAGAAAAAAAAAATGATTTTTGCAGAGTCCGTTGCCCGCGGACGATCGATGGTAACACTGCGTCATACGCCGAGAGATGAATGAACTCGGACGGAAGGCCCCACCACGACACTCCTATCTATATCGAGTGGAAATGAGCGAGTAAACTATACTACACAATGCAATGTATATGCAATATACGTGTATAATATATACAGAGCGATTCAAAATCCGTGCGAATTCGACGTGCGTACCGGCGTGTGTATACGGTCGCGGCAGTTACAGCAATAGGTGATGACTCAATGCGTATTATGTATTTATGTTTTGACTCGGCGCTGGCCCGTGAGTCACGATGACCCAGACCGTCGTCGGGGTTTTGAATGTTTTGATGGCTACAGCGATAATACGATCGGGAAATCATAAAATACATTCAAATCGCCGTTTTAAATTTTTAAATTAATTTTTTTAGACGTACACGCTGAATTACTCGTGTAATTTACCGCGTGGATTATGTTCTGATTCTCGTCTCGGAGTTTCGCGGGTGTGATAATCCCGCGGATACGATCGAATTTCGTACAGGAACCTTTTAATATATGATTATTGTTTTTGAAAAAAGGACGCATCTTTAATATTTATATTACGGACGGAATCTTCAGAAGTTCTCCCCGCGGTTTCCCCGTTTCGGTTGATTCGGACACTTATATAGAGTTACGAGAATTAAAAGACTGTGCGGAACTGTGTACAACACGTTCGAGATAATAATAGAGGACAGGGGTGAATGGCGGAGAGTTGCGGAACTTGGAAATTTAGACTACGGTGTAATTCAATGATAATTAAATTCAATTGTCAGCAAACTAATTTTTTATTTTTTTTTTTTTTGGTACGCATTTTATTATGTAATGATGTTATATTATTATCGTATAATTTATTATCATCTATAAAATAACAAAATAATGGGCGAATAAAAAATTCACCCATTATTTTGTTTAGAGTCGGACATTTTTTAATCACACCCGTCCATCGATTTTTGTTAGTGCCGACCGTGCTAAACGATTTTCGTTTCTCAACAGTCCAAAAATAAATAATCCCTAAAATTTCTCAATTCGATTGTTTTGTTTACAGAAGATTTTATAGAATGTATGTTAAAAATCATTGCGTCGTTGCTTGCGTGTGTTTTGGCATTTGATTTTGGATTTTTTTTACATAGTACTGCAGAATAAAATCATATTATATTGTTCAAATTGTCGATAGAAATACTAGTATTTTTATTGTATATTATGTGTATAGGTACGGACGTCAACAGTTTTTGAATATTATAATGTTCGATCGGATAGAAAACAAATTTAATAATAATACAAAAGTGTGTAGGAAATAACTGAAATATCAGTCGAGTATTTTGAAAAGCACAGGTATACAAAAACATTTTTGCGACGTAATCAAATAATTTTCGAAGCGAAGTATACAACGATCTGCAAAGGTTTAGACTTTTATTGATTTTATATGCATATTGCGCATTAAACGTGACGCGACTGTATTATTATAGTTGCAGCGAAGATCTAATAAAATCGTTCGAAATCAATATAATGATGCGAACTGTTGAGGTTTCACATAATTATATAATACCTATATAATATGTTACGCGGCTAACGTTGAAAATCGGATAATGTTCTCTTTTCGTTCAGCAAAACCGATGTTGTGCTGTTTTTATATATAATATTAATATTAATATAACAATGTCAGTAGCAACACTGAAAAGCAAGCGTATTAGCTGGGCAGGGCACATATGGAGAGCACAAGACTAGACAACTCGAGAGGCGGCAAAATGGATTCCCAATAGAAAGAGGCCATTAGGAAGGCCAAGGCAAAGATGTGTAGACGAAGTTAGGAGTGACCTGAAAATGGTAAAGAGTTAGCTACAGTGACGAAGAAGGACGGAGAAGTGTTGTGATTACGGCGAAGGGCCTAATAAATAGCCTGTACTAAGCCGGGAAAAAAAATATTAGTATGGTTATAAATGTATATCTGCCCTATGTTTATATTCTGTCGTTATTGTACTATTTTTTATCGTCCCTACCAAATCGTCCTGTTTTCTCTATGCATATAGCCTGTCCGTCGATTAGTCTTTCTTTTTTAATCTATTCCACTATGTCTGAGGTTTAACGCAAAATTAAAATACCTGGTTAACATACAATAGACTGTAGACCATAGTGATGGCTCAACTATAGAGCTCAATAACAATATTGGGGATGCTGTGGTATTATGTAACACTCACAGCTGTTTTTCCTCCTCCTCCTGTTCTGTAAAATCCTAAAATAGGACTAATTAATATCTACAGCTCTCACAGGCAGAACTACGAGGTATGTCGAATGTGGTTTAGCACACTTTGAATATCTATTGTCCAAATTATTTTCAATTTGAGGAAAATTTATTTTTCATTTATTATATGTATTTGAATACCCAGTATTAAAATTGTCTACATGCGTTACGTGTATTTTTGACATTTTGTTCAGAAAATGAACTAGAGAAAAAACATTTTCCAAGTGTTAAAATCAAGCACCCTAGCAACTTTAAGATAAACCTTCTACATTATAGTTCACAGTTAGGACTGTTAAGAGTAATCTAAAAACTAAAGTCAAGCTATCCGCTTATGCTAGTTTTATGACAGTAACACGGTCGATTGCTGATAATAAAAAACACGGATGGGACACGTCAGGTTATCAGTGAAGACTGTAGTCACCCGCGTAGTTTTCATAGATGTATATTACTGTATAACACATTATTATGGTCTCAAATGTTTGGCATTGTAGGACTGAACACACTGTATCAAAACGTAAACAAATTTGTTATTAGTTCACATTCGAAAAAATATAATAAATGGGTTCGGTCGGTGACGTATCATCCATATGGTATTTATTATTTATAATTAGTATATTATAACTGATACCTGATATTTAGATTTTTGATGTCGTACAAAAGGGAATCGCTCCTTTTTCGGCTCAATATGAAACTACGTTGACAATGCGAATTTGTTTCCTACTATAATCATGTATAGAATTAAAATCACATTTTGTTTGTTTTGTGAAGGGTCTATTGTTATCTTTAATTTTCGTATTTGGTTTGATAAAATGTTTGTATTTATATTTTCTGTATTTTTGCTAATAAATTTTAAATGAAATACAATCAATGAGTAATTACGAGTTCCTAGCTGAAAACCGTTAAATTATTACCTAGGGTTTTCGTAGGATTACTTTCGGTGCTTTTTTTGTGAAGGTTTTTATTTATTTTTTAGCAGTATTGTGGTAAGCGAAATACGCGTGCGTTTCTTATTTCTCTGCGTCTTTTATTACGTTATAGGTATACGCAGTTTTCCTTGCGGACTAGCCGTCGTCGTGGTAACCCCACTTCCATGGTAAGTGTATTATATATATATTTATATAATAGCTGTTTTTAGCTCTGTCGACCCCTATATTTTCTTGTGAGGGGTGAGGATGAACCTGCGACCGTTCCCGAAAACAACGTATACAGGGTCTTCCAAATTGTACGTTATACTCGTAGTGTTAAAACTGTAATACACAGTTTGGTAGACACTGCAGATATGCTGCCGTTGTCACAGTGGTTCATCACCATTGTAGTTTTTAGTTAGGTTTTTTTTTTTTTTTTTATTTTTATCACGTGTACGAAAATATTTATACAACACACGGTTGTCGTGTGTTTTTTTCAAAATATTATTGGTGCGGATAATTCATGTTTTATCGATACAGAACTGCTGGGTGTAGTAACGTCGAGACCTGTAAAAGTGTATAGGTAACAAATAATAGAACGGACCGACCAAAACGAATATAATTTTCTTTTTATTAACTTTTTTTTTTTAGGAAAGAGTCGCCCGGAAAATAGCATGTACGGACGGCGCCGATGATTCATCGTCCCGCGTTTTATCATGTATATTTATACTTTTTAAAGTGTTCGTCATAATACTCGGTCATCGGTGAATATTTATAATGCTGATTAAAACTCAAATGAGTTAGAAAAAAAAAATATATATGTATAATATGTATACGATCTAATATGTTTTAAATTGATAACTCACATGCAAATTCGATCACTGATCTTAAAGGTAATCTAGGTCTATTTCGAAAATACCTTTTTTACTACTATAACCGATTTAAAATACTGCGGAAAACGGACATCTTACGGCTTCATTTCACATTATCCAGATTGTTCAATATTTTAAAGTCCACGCGATCTTCACATAAATCGCCTGTTTGACACTGCTATAGTTTCTATCTCAGCGCCTTCATAAATTATTAGTATATATATATATATTGCATTATGTAATAGTAACAAGTATAATACGAGTTGAAGAGGACGGTCCACCCACTTAAACGGATTGACCAATAACGTAACTATATATATACCTACGTTCTACAGGCTATAATAATACGTAACATTTCTGCTTCTCGCTTTTACAAACTAAGGACCGACAGTAAGCGTATAACTCAACCGCCGTAGTGGTTACAAATGTTTTATTTTTTCGTTTTAATAACCTTATTATTCACATGATGTCTGCGTTTTGATTTGAAAAAAAAAATATTTTTCATCCGTGTCTATTTATACAGAGCAACGTAGAGAGAAACTATTAATACTATTTGTCAACGGGGATTTCGGCATACAATTTGTGAGAAGTATATAATATTTGCAAAGGTATCAACGGACTAAAATTAAATTAAACATTAAAAAAAAAAAAAAAAACGACGGCATGCAATTTGGCCGATTTTAGATTTTAAATGTAACCAAGGAGCTATTATTTTTACCAAGATATGTCCTTCCCCTCCGACTCGCCAGAAAACACATTTTCGGTTTGTTAAAACGATCCCAAGTCTCTAATGTTCACATCGTATCACAGAATATATGGATTTTTCGGCCAACGTTCCGTGCAACGTGAACAATTTTCCTATAGATCCCTAACATTTTTTTAGAAAGTCCGACAGCAAATAAGACGATTTTTACTGGCCGTCGTTTTCGGTACACTTCAAACTGCATCCCATTGCAGGCCCGGCCCGTATTTCCCACGCACAGCGGCGGCCT